TATGTTGATTATTTTTTAAATTTGTATTTATCTTCGATTAAACAGGTTTAAAATAATCATGAATATTCGGACTACGCAAATTTAAATATAAATTTAATAATATAAGAAAAAATAGGCTATATTTTTTATTATAATTAATATGATTTTAATAAGTTAGAAATATAACGGTGTTTTTGCTATAATAAAAAATAATTAATGCAAATTAATTTCGTTTATTTTGCTTGTGAACATCCGCATTATTCTGATCTATCTATATATTGAACGAAATTGATAATATATATAATTATAAAAATAGAACAGAAATCACCAGATTACATGTACATAATTGCTTAAACTATTACTTCAAATTACAATGTATATTCATTATTCTTTAAAATAAATGTCACCAAGCAAAGTGTTTTGTAATACTAATTATATTAACATTATAAAAATATTTATAAACTTTAGTAATAATTAACTTAACTTTTTTGCGATGAATTTTAAATGAATAATTAAATTATTGAAAACATATTAATAGAAATATTAAAATTATTTCATTCGGTTAAAATTATACTTGAAGATTTTTTAAACTGGTACGACTTTTAATTCAACTGAACCGAAATAATAATGTTCGAGCATGGCCGGATGTGTATTAAAAAATTAGAGCAATTTAAAGTACCAAATTGCATAACGAAATCGTTTGGACGTTTGAATTCTCATCGTTTAATTTCTTAATCGTTTAATTTAAGTAAATTATTTTGGACGCAATTATTAATTATGTAAGCTCCGCATCAAATCCTGAGTACTGTATTGTATGTATTATGTATCATTATGTTATAGATTTGATAATTTTTATTAAAATATACCGAAAAAAAGAGACTTTATTCTATGAAGGAAACACATTTAGTTTGTTTTGAAATAGTGAATCTCAGCTGATCGAAGGTAATTCGGACTATACGAGATATTGAATTTATAAAACTTTAAAAAATCTTAATGTGCTATATATAAATAATAATATACTATGTAAAAATAGGTTTTTGTTTACTTTAATACAAAGTACGACTTTTATATTTTAATCATTTTATTAGGTAAAAGAAAAATAGATAAAAAAAAAGACAGTAATTCTAAAAAATTATGTTAGTTTATGTGTGAATAGCTGTAATTTCTATTTAGTACTTAATTTCTATATCAAAAGTCTAACATAATTAGTTACATAATACAATGGTATTTATTTATGTTTATTTTTTATTCAAATTGCTGATTCATTTCACTACAAAAGAACATTTGAAAAATATTTATAGAACAATATCTAGTTTATTATTCAACGTTATGTATTATTATAAACAGTCCAGTACTTATTTTTCTACGTCGCAAATGTGACTTGATTTAATTTCTTTGATATTTTTTTCATTCCAAATTTTAAGCTGGAACAGTGATTCTCAAACTTTTTGGTCCGCGACCTACTTTTGGACATAAACATTTTTTGCAATCCCCCGAAGAATGAGTGTGTAAAAAACAACCAGGATTGATGTGTTATTATTTTTTTGCGACACTGCAAATATTTTATGCGACCAACACTTTGAGAATCACTGGGAAGATGAAATATATAAATAATATAATAGTTATTAGATTCAATTACAAATTCTTGGTACTTAAATAAAATGTATAAAATAATAAAATATATATTATAATATAAATACTTTACAAATAAAAACAATATTTACAAACTTATAATAAAATTATGATCCTGAACACCGATTTTAGGAAATACTATTAGAATGGAAATTTTCAAATATTTAGTTAGAACCAAAAAATGGAGTTTAACCTACTTATCTATATTTATGTGCGTGTGAATCTAGACGATAAGGAGAGATTGTTTATTTACATCTTGTAAATCAAGTTGTCAGTTTTCGTAAATCAACATTTTATTCTGCGAATAAATACAATATGTACATAATGTGAACAATTTAAATCGTCTTTCAAAAAGTACATAATAGCGTGTTTCGTAACAACTAACGTAATTAAATACCGTCGAAGAACTCTTGCTGTTATTTACATAATAATGTGTTTTTAATATTTATTATATTTTCCCACTGAGATTCTCATATGTATAGATAATTGCAACTATTATAAGATGGATATCCTTATAAATAAAATTACTTTTAGTGAATTAACTTAATTAATTTACATGCATTATGGAAATATAAACAATAACATATGCAAATTCTGGTGAAGAATAAATTCATCATTCCAAGGCACGTATTTTTTGTTCGCTGTTTCTCTTTTCTGCGATACTTTTACTTGGCAGTGAAAATGTAATAAATGTATTTGCTACCGAAGAAAAAGAAAACTGCATAGTCAGAATGAAATCTTGAATGACGCGATGTAAATATCAAGTGTGTTAAACCGGGAAACCCAAATCTACGATGCATTTAATCATGAATTCCAATGAAAATCAACAAAGAAATACGTCACATACGATTATCATATTACCAGCGTTTCTCGACCTATGGGTCTCGACTCAAAAATGGGTCAAAATGACAGCTGACACCCTGTGTCAAAGCTAGGAAGTGATTAAAAACTCTGAACAATTGGCTCGCTTTACTATTACAAACAAAAATGATGGGTTGCACGGCTAAAAGGTTGACAAAAAAAACTTGTATTGCCACTGAGTAAAGAGAAAATACAGAAATAATGTATGTATTTGATTACATCTGAAATCGGTAATTTGTGCAAACGTTCGATGTCTCAAGGTCTCTTTATTGTGGTGCAAAAATAATTAAATATTGTGAGAGAATCGATTAAAACGTTATATCCGCAAGGTTTCTATAGTTATAATAAATTATTGTAATATGCAGGCTATTCACCTACAAGTCATATGATCATGCACAATTTCCGACAAGCATTATCAAAGCCTATGAATAAAAGATTACATAGATTGCAAAATGCATTGAAAAATGAAAATGTGCTAGGCGCGTAGTTGCCAATCCATGAAGTGTTCAAAAATCTCGCAGCAATTGTGGAAACATGACCTTAAATTGTGGTTTTATGCATTTGTTTTTATTTAGTTTTTTTTTTAAATTTTTAAATTTAAATAAATCTTTCAAATAAAAAATAAAACCTTAACAACTTAGATATTGTTTTTTGTTTGTACAACAATTTTAATATATTTCTTTTATAATTGAAATTCAATTTTCAGTAAATACAAATTTGATTATTTATATAAATTATTTGCTTGAATGTTTAATAACAGATTTATATTGAACAATTAATGATGACCGTTATAGATATTTTCTCATGCATTCCTTTTGGCAAATTTAGTATAGTAGAAATTAGTTCATAATATTATTCGTTTCTAAATATAGAATAAAACGGCAAACATTACAAAAGTAAAAGCAAATTATGTTATAAACAGGTATATGGCAAAATGTTATTTTCTTTATTTTTCCTTATTGCTACATCTTTTATTCAAGAGACAATTTATGATATTTTTTACCTTGTTTGTTACGTTTCTGTTATTACCATAATAATTTAATGTGATTTTTTTAACCGAGCGGAAAAACCAAGGTCGATAGCCCTTTAACCATTTGTATCTTATTTTTAAAATTTACATGGAAATGTTATTTTATAATAATTTGAATTGTTCCCTCTTAGCCTGAATGTGATCTCTCTAGGTAAGCCTTCTGTCCAGATGCAAGCCTAAATATTTGACTTTTGTTCATTTGTGCTGATCTAGGCCATTAAATATTATTATTATCATGTATTAGGTATGAATATTTTTTGTACCGATTTCATTCCATTCACTGATATTCTTATATTTTTTTAGTCATTCCTGTAGCTTATCAAAAATTTCCTGAATATATATGCAACTGCTGAATTCTTATGCGGTGCCAAGATTGTTCTATCATCAGCGAATGTTGCAATCGTAGTATAGTTAGTTTTAGGAATGTCTGTCGTTTATAGAATGGTCATAAAACACTTCTCTGTGAAATGGATATAAATTGGTGTACTCGTCTTCAATGTATACCTGAAACATTATATTCTCCAGATATATCAGTTTATTTGACGTTATAATAGGTTTCAATTGGTTAGCAAGAATATTTTCAAATACTTTTGATAATATCGGTTAGAAGCTTATTGGTATTTACTTAGTAAGTATAAGTATATTTACCAAATTTTCAAACAATGGTATGTGCTATTGATAGGGTTCATGGAGAAAAACTTGCTATGAAATACATTGATTACTATTATAAACAATGTAAATAAAACGCATAAAAATAATAAATTAGTTCGTAATTTAGTAGAACATAATATCATTTAAATTAACCTAAGACAAATTAAATTAAAAATCGAGGCTAATTTAGAATGTTAATCGAATATCTCTTAAATTTAGTTAACTTTTAGATGAATATGCTAACAAAAAATAAATAAATAATTATATTATTGTATGTAAAATCAAATAACAATTACTGTCTACATATAATGTTAATATTTCAATCAATAATTTTAGATACTTGTATTATTATATTAAATCTTTATTTTATATATTTATATTTTATATATTTAATAGATGAATCACTAATAATAGAAACAATAACATCGAAGGAAGGCTAGTAAAGTCTATGCAATAATAAAGAAATTAACGTGAGATCCGATTACTTCATGCGCAACGTTTTATCTATATATATGTGAGCATCGGCATTTTCCGTCGAACTTATGCAATATCCAGTTAATTATATATTTCCATGTTTTCTGAAAACGATATATATCTTTTGGCAAGTACAAGGATCACGAAAAAATAAATAAAAGGATTTTATATGTTTCTGTAAAAAATTCATTATTTTTACCGGGCGATGTGCCAGGATTTGCGTTTCCGGAGCTGACGGCGATGCACGTTATCGCTCCAACAGGTTTTCAGTCGACAAACAAGTATCCGTCCTCTTTTAAGTGAGAAACGCACGATATTTTTTTTCTATCCTCCTGCAACAGTTACAAAAGTATAACTCTATAACCATTTATTTGTAAACATTCCTGCTGAGATGGCATCCAAAGTTACTCCCTTGAACTACCAAAACTTTGAGAACTTTGTTGTGAACAAGAGAAACACATCCTCAAAGGTAACACATTTTTTGTTCTTTTTTGCACAGACTTAGATCCAAGTAAATAAAAGTGGTGTCGAACTTTTTTATTATATAAGAAACAATTCGAGAAAATTTATGGGATTGGTAGAAAAGTCAATAGCTTTCGTTCTTTTTTCTTAATCGATAATATTAAAGTTAATGCGGTCAAAGACCTGACGCAATCTATGCTTACTGGGTCTTTCTTATGTCGAATGTAATTAGTGATATAGCAATTAACTCATTTTATATCTCGACTTGTACTTTATATTATGTATCAATGTTCTTAATGGATTATATAATTTATTCACTTTTTAATGCTTTTTAACATTTACATTACTAATTATAAATTTAAATTGTAAATGCACATAAAATAACAATTTATAAAAAATATCATACGTACTACAAGAAATGTTGCAAAAAAAGGAAAATTCTTACACTATTTTAAGAATTGTTCCACGTGAACCAGATTATTCTAGGTTGCACAGATGTACATACTAATATTTACATTAAATCGTCTTTGCTGAACTAAATTTAGTTATGTAAATGTGTTATCTCAAATATTAATGATTTTCTTAGAAAGAAAATAATAATTATTTATTTACACTAACTAACGGGTTAAGATGTTAACCTAATAATTAGGATAATTATAAATAGCAAAAAAAAAATACAATTAAATTTATTCTATAGAAATTAATCTTATTTGAAAGTCACTTAAGCATATCTTGCTTAATAAATAGCATGTAGGCATATTTTGTAATATTTCAACACTAATACGATTAATTTTATATGAAATATGCATGTAAGTTTCGTAATTCGGATTTTTTTTTAAATAAAGTAATAATTATTATCAGAAATATCATTTTCGAAAAACAATAATGCAATTGAAAGTAATGTTGAAAATACTAATTCAGATTGAACTAACAGTTTATTGCTTCAGACAGATACATGATTTGATAGTTTACTAAAGTTAAGCAATATAAGTTTTTTTAGAATATTTTGACCAGAAATTTGATTTATACTTTAATAACAAAATATAAGATTATACAAAAAAAAAATAAAGGAAAAGTTAGAAAGTCTTTGATATTTTCTTTGCATTTAGAAATAATAATTTGTATTTGGGCGGAAAGACCTCAGTCAATAGCCCTTTGGCCAGCATATTAAATTATTATTATTATTATTTTGAAAATATATTTTTTCATTTTTATAACAATGAAGGAAGACTTTTGACAAAAATAAACATATTTTTGTTTGAATTTCAAAGTTTATTTAGACTTAATATATTTGTTCCTTATTTTGTAGACATATTAAAATAATGGAGAACTCTCTATATAAGAACTCAATAGAACTAAAATAAGAATTTTGATACAATTAGTATGGCAATTCTAATAACAAATTTGTTATTAAAATTTTCTATAAATATAGTAAGTATTATTTGTATACTTGATTGATGTAATAAATAATTTTTTATCTTGTTTTTGCAGAATTAAGTAAACGCTTAATTTTCTTTACAATAACATAACATTTATCCTTAACAATAGTGTAACTCTCATTTCTCTATTTCGCAAAAAGTTTTGATATAATTAATACAATGAAAATTTATTGAATTTCAAAGTCTACTTGTCATGAAAATTCTGATTAAAAGTAGTAAATATTATGTGCATCTATGATTTATGTTTACTTTTGTAATATCTTTTTTTAGTCTTATTAAAATAACTAGGAACGATATATTAATTCTTATCTTGTTGTTGCAAAATTCAGTTTTAACTTAATTATTTTTATCATTGGTTATTATTATATAATTTGACGATAATTTTTTATGATAATTTTTATTTTCTGGGTAACATGAATTATATAAACCAACAAACAACATGTTAAAAATAACGTAAAAATAAGTCTCAGTTCTATTTTTTTAATAACTATACGGCACTAAACAATGGATGGAATAAAATACCCTTGAAAATATTGTAACTCACATTGCTCCATATACCTAAACATAGCAAAATAGCATAATTATAATCAATTACCATCCTAGTAAAGGCAAGTTAATTTATTACACGATTGGAATTTTAAGCGTGTCATTGATATAAAGCATCGTTTTCCGCAAACTCAACAATTTTACAAATTTAGAAAATAATTATGGAAAGAAAAACTAGTCAAATCTTTAAATTAAAAAAAAAATGCAAGAATATAACAAAATAAAAACGATTTATTTTATTTTGCATAATATATTCATATTGTTTTTGTAAATTTTTTGTTATTGTATTATTTAGAAAACAACTAGATTATTATAAACAACTTAAAAATGAATTACGTAACTTTGATAATTTATATACTCGAGGTCATTTTTATAATAACCGATGACAATTTAGAAAAATAAGTTGAATACAATTTTTTTTAAAATATAGTCTTGTCCTAAAATATAAACTATAATTAAAAAATGTGGTTTATAATATTTGTATTGTTTATATTTTTATATATGTTTTAGATATGAGAAAACATGTAGTAATCTTTTTTATAGTTAATTAACTGAATTGTTAATTGAATTACATATTTTTCATCTATTTTCAAATTGGTCAAAAAAACTTTTAATATATGTGCATGATGCAAATAAAATGTCAACATGTATGACAACAAGAAATATCTGTATGTTAGGAAAAACTTGTCCAATAACAATATCATAAAAGATCAAAAAAATCTATTAAGGTTAAATAATCGTTGAAAAAAAAACTTGTTTATTATAATGCTAGAAAATGTAAATTTATCATTATAGACATCTCACAAAAGCAATTAATTAAGTGATGTAAACAAAGCAGTTAAAATATTATAATAAAAAAAAACAAGGTCCATAGCCCTTTGGCTAGATGGAAATTTATTTAGAATTGATGTTTATTCACTGATTTTATTACATTTCTAATTATTTGAATTTATGTTCCTTCTTGTCTGGCTAATATTTTTTTTATTACTGCACATATTTTAGAAGTGTATTTAAAAATATAATATATAATAAAATCCATTAATGAACTATCTAAAATGATTCTTTAATATCTATGAATATGATTGTAATTTCTAAAAATATGATTATTTAATATTTTCTAATTTTAAAAGCTTTTGCTTTTATTTGTATTATGTATGTTATGTAATGCGCAAAAACCTTAATTAATTGACCTTATTTATGTTGGATCAAACTTGTTTTATGAAAGTTGCGGAATTGCAAATATTTTTTTGTTTATTTTATAAATTTATTGGTTTTTACTATTTTATATTTCAATGTATAATTAATCTTAATATTATTACCAAATATAACTCGTAAATTGTAAATGCATGAGTCTTCTATATCTAAACGTTATACTTCGATTAATCCTGATTCATTATAGACCGGTTTGAAAATTTCAAAACAATCTAAATTTTAATTAAACAACATGAAAATGAATTCTAAAATAATAAAGAATTTTGGGGCATCGGTATAAAAATATATAAATAAGTTGTATTAATTTTAATAGAAAATAATAATATTGCCAATTTCTTTGCAATCGTGATATTATTACCAATTTATAGGTCATGGTGGAAATTAATTAAAATAAACATAATTTATTTAATCATCAAAATAATGAGTAAACAAAATTAGTTATCAAATAAGCACATTAAAATGTTTGAGATGTATATATAAAATATGAGCTTCATTAAGGAAACCAGTAATATTGTATGAATTGCATTAATTTGAATTTGAACTGTATCCAAAAATATGTCTATTAGTTATTTATTAATATTTACCTATATAATTTTATAATCGTTTTTCTTTTTACATTTATTTTAATTATCAATTTGCTGATATGATTCTGTTTAATAAACTTTACCGATGGAAACTATATTTTTATGTAATTATTTACAAATAAAAATCAATGTTAAACATTTATTACTTCAATTTATATGCTAAATCTAGTGGTTTAAATTTCTTCAGTATATTTATTGCTTTACTGTGGTCATGAAGGTTAATAGCCAGTACATTAATTTGTTATTCCAGCAAAGCTGTTTCTTATCATTTTTATCGATTAATATAAAAACCTGTATTTTTTATTCAGGATAATAGGATTTTATTGATTTATATACAAAAAAACAAGTAAAAAGTAAATAATATATATTGTAAAAGTAATAAGTTCATAATAATCGTAAGTTAAATCATAATAGGAGTTGATAATACACCAATCAACTCCTATGTTGTGTCTCAGAGAAGGAAAATATGGACACCGTCGGTTGTTTTGTGCTTTTGTGGATATGGAGTCTTAGACGTTGCAAATTTGAATTAAATCTATTTGGTTAAATATACAGTAAGACTTCGTTTAACGATGCGTGACAGAGCGCTAAACAAAACAGCGAAACAGAGGTCATTTTAACACAAAAACAAATTTTACTTTAATTTTACGTTCTAATTATAGTAATTTGCATAATAATATATATTTTATATAACAGAAACATTTGCACACAGAAATAATAAGTTTATATTTGTGATTCAGATTCTGGCTTTTCTGATATTTTTGATAAAATTATTTAGAGTCATTTCACATTTTCTGTTTCATTCATTAAGGAAATGTTGGCAGCATCCAAAACGCCTCTTCTTGGTTGCTTTCATTCCTGTCAAAATCATTTGCTACAATTTGATCAAGGATTTCGATTATAGTTTCTAAACTTCTTCAGAACCATTATTTTCGCGTATTTTGATTGTGAGTATTTGATGGAAGACGTTGGTAAGGCCTTCACCAGAAATCTGCAGTAACTCCTTAATATTTTACTCATCTACATCTCAAACAAGCATAGATTCTAGAGAAGCACAGCGCAAGTATTCAGGAATAATCGTATTATATACGAATCAATGAAATGTCGCGATAATTAATATATGGGTAAATTTTGAGCTTTTTAAGGCATTTATAGTAAATCAGCGTGAATCGAGACAGCGAGACTTACTGTAGATTTATTTGTGTTTCGGCGATTGTTGAAGAGTG